ACGAGTTTTTTTACTGTCGAGAAGACCATATTAAACAATTTATAATCACACATTTTTCTTCCTCAATAAGAAACGGTTGATATAAAAAAAACAGAATTAATTTTTAACATATTGAAAGGATAAACTTTTTACCCCAAATTTGGAAGAGTTTTTTTACAAAGATTATCAACCTATAGTTCGAGAAAAAAAGGTTACAAAATCCGTCATCCAAAATAATTGCCTCTTTTGAACGTGTTTTAATTATCGATTTTTCGGCTTTTCTTCAAGCCAATTAAATAACCGTTTAATAGCCCTCTCCGAGTGAAATGATCAAAAGTTGTTTAAAATCTCGTAAAAACTTCATGGTGTGATTCTTTTATCCGGAAAATATTATTATTTTTCCGGTTTATTCCTCTAATTTCAGTATCGATACTAAAAGTAAGATAAAAATAAATTGTTGAAAGGAGTAAAAAATGATAAAACCAACTTTTATTGGCAATGACTCGGCAATGAATCAATATCCCTAGGCTATGAAGAGGTATTCTAAAGAAGTGTATGGGTTTCCCGGCAAATCAAAGTCTAAAAATTGTTTTGAATTTTTGAAAAAAACTATTTGAGAACTTTTTTTTGATAAAAATTTTTCATTGAGTTATAACGCACTCATTGACTCATAAGTCAAGATAAAGTAGACTTACAGCCATAGTCATGGGGGTCGTTTACGTTCTCCTACAGCTGGGCAAGCCAGTAGCTTAGCTAATTTTTCTTTTTGTTCATAAACTGTGATGGTAAAAAACCTTCAAAAATTGATGTGAAAATTTGAAAAAATCTGAAAAAATTTGAACAAAAATTGAACATAAAAAAATGGAAATTACTCACAAAATATTCAAACTGTTCAATAAAGCTTTTAATGGATCAGACAAGTGTTATAACACAATGAAATTTTGTTGAGAAGATCTAGAGATAATTTTTCGAAAAAGTGTATTTTCCCTTACGTGTCGAAATTGATTTTTTTATCCAGCAAGTTCTCGGAAACAAATTTCGTCCTTCGGACGGGCATCGCAAAAAGCGCATTTTTTTTGCTTAAAAACAACTCTTCCATGGTTAACTTTCTTTTTTTCAAATTTTGGTTTTTTGAACTAAATATATAATAAAATTTTTTAAAGTTAATCGAAGCTAATCGAATGACTTGGATAGAACCATAGGCTCAGAGCGTCAAAATTTTTTGGTTTGGAATAAAAGATTCTGCTGATTTTTTTGTAAAAGTATCATTCTTGAAATAATCATATTTTTCTAAAAATAGGATTTTGACTAACTCAAGGTTCTGAACCCGATATTTTTTGACCTGATAAAGATAGACGCATCGTAATGATGACCCTTTCTGTTCTCCTATAGTAGGGCAAGCCATTGGGAGTATTTTTGTAACATCTGGATTATTGGTAGAGTGAGAAATGACTTGTGTATTTGTGATAAAAAGAAAAGTAAAAAAACTTAAGAAATTAAAAATTAACCTAAAATTTTGTTTCCAATGATTTGCTATGAATTTCTTTTTTATCATTCTAATTTAAAAAAAGACTTTGATGGACATTCTACTTGATACGCTATCAATCTCTTTAGAAATTTTTTTCACTAAATCTCTTTCTAAATTTGGTTGAAAAGAACACACAAAAACTTAATTGACCCAATTGACAGTAAATCAATTGAATATAAATTAGATTGGAGTAGAGGAGATTACATACAAACTGAAATCAAACTGATTTGATAAAAAGTGAAAGCAACACATCAAATCAAAATGAGCTCCATAATTTTAATAAATCAAAACACGAGTTTTCAAAAGATTTCTTAAAACTGATTGAATACAACTTTACGGTTCTTGGATGCATAGCAAGTTGCTACTGGTGGCGTCTCTGGAGTTATTTGAGAGCAGCTGATTCAACATCATTGTCGGAGGGCTGTGACGAGCAGCTGATTGGTATTGTTAATGTTGTCACGTCTGCAGTTGAGTCGGGAGGAGATTGACATCGTTGAATCGATGTCCCAGTAAGACACACGCTCTGCCAAGTCCCTAAAATACCCTTCCTGGTTTTCATACAAGGGAATCGTCACACAATCGTAGCGAAAAAGAATTTTTCGAGATGATTGCTCGAGAAATCCGGGGTCGTTGACGTAAGTCTTGTCCAAAGCAGGGCAGGATTCGGTCTCTGTGGAGCTGTAAAGGGTACGTTTCCTGCTCTAACGTGGAAGGAAGATCTGGTTTAGTAAGCATTTGTTAAACATCATTTGTCTTTTAGTAGTCCAATCGCGATACTCCAGGTCTGAGCGTCGACAAGCCAAATCGTTGAATGGAGAGGGCATTCTCGCCCGTTTTTGCTGCACAATGACAATCGTTTCTCTCATGTAAGTTTGATAGATTATCGTTCGCTCAGTTTCCGAAGTCGAAAACACTTGCAGAGGATTCGTCATAAATACAATTTGATTTTTGTCTTTCTTTCAGAGCTGAGTATCAACTGGGAATTGTTTGAATGAGAATTTTTTTGTAATTGAAATTGATAACAATTTATTGATAAGCCAACGGAGTAGTATTCTGAATAAGTTATTTCTTGAAAAAACTTGTTAATACACTGAATCTAAAAACGAATTGGCTCAGTCAATAAAAATCTTGTAATAACTTATAATCTTGTTTTTTTCCTCCATTTTTTTTCTCCTATTTAACATCGGCCTTTCTAGTTGTTCCCCGATGCGAATGTTTAGCTACCATTGCACGGTTTATCGAATGTTTAGCTACTTCATAATTGGAAACGATTATGCCAAACTTCTCACAGCATTGGTGTTCTGCGAATGTTGGTGGCCAAAAAAAAACATTGTTCCTAGAAGGTTTTCCCCACTTTGGCCTGCTTGATGCGACATGTTGAAAAAAAAAATGATTCGATACTGTTAAACTCCCAATCCAAAGCGCAACTCAATTGTGGAACAGATCATATAGAAGAAGTTTAAAGGTCAACCTAATTATTTTTGGTATTCGTCTTGCGCAGGTCTACTCAAATACCTGAAAAGCAAAAACAGAGCCTTTTTTCCTTTAACTTGAATCCACTGTTTCACAGAACGAAGCACTTTGATACAAAATGAGACACTTTTTTCAGCATATTTATGAAACAATCGAACATTTTTATCAAAAAGACTTGATTTGAACGAAACTTGAATTATTTGCTTTGATATTGGATTTTAATAGTTTTGAATTGCATGCTTTTTTAGTTATATGTAAGTAAACAAATTAAAGTTGCAGCTACAAACTGAAATAGGCCACATATACTCATTTGATGTCCTATCAATTTTTATATATGCCTTGAATTTGCTATACAAAATTAATGCTTATTGAAAAAGAAATGATTTTAAGACAATTTGTTCTTTTTATTTTTACCTGCATCTTTTCAAACTTTGTCAAATTCTCAATATCAATCGAAATTTTTATAGAATAGTTACTTTCAGGTTTTAAGTTTTTAAATCTGGTTTCATACCAAATAAAAAGCAGACAACTTTTCAGATTTGATTGGTGCGCTGCATTGAATTGCAACAAGTTTTGAACAAAACTGTTATTTTTTGTTTCTTCGCTAACATTTTCCTCAAAGGCTATGCAAAGTATAAAGACCGTCGTAAGTTTCACATCCAGTAGCACATTAACAAAAACAAAAAAAGGTCTCAACCGAATTTGGAATGATCTCTAAAGCACCCAAATTGCCACTTACGCGTCAATAGAGGAAAATATGCCTTTTTAAATGTAACATTTTGACACAACTCCAATATTTGAATTTCCTTAATCATAAAAAAAACCACAATTAAATGATTTTTGAGTAATTAGCTGAAGGCTTTTATATATTCCAGATGCTAAAAACAGCAAGTTTAAAATATTAATTTTTTCTAAGGAAAAGGAACCCTACCACGCACAAACTTTTCATAATTTTCTGAGAAATTCGGTGGTAGATTAACAAATTTCAAGAGCCAACCGAAATGAATTCCAATCAAAGTAAGCATTACTCAACTCAGAAGCATAGTCATTCTTTCGTAAATTAAGTTATGCGATTGTCCGATGATTGAACGATAGTCCGAAAAAAATTGATTTCTTTAAACTCAATCCGCAGTAACCTCTCTTGGTTTAAATAATATCATCATAATAAATAAACAAACCGAAGCTGTTTTTCAACAACGTTCAAAAACGAGAAATGGGCTTTAAAATGTACAAAAATAAGTTGGCGATCAAAATGACGTTTATGGGGAAAAGCTAGTTTCCGATTACTTGGAGTATAGGAAAGGAAAGTCAGTGAAAGGAAAGAAATTCGAACCGAAAATCAAAAAAACATCGAACAAACTTTTTTCAATTTTCCCTAAATTTCCTGTAATGTTGAGGGAGCTCCTGCTGATTTCCTGTCGAGGGAGCTAGCAAGAAAAATCTCAGGTCAAACTTTTGCAAAAATCAAATTAGTCGCTTCAAATTAAATCAATCAATCAACTCAACTTCTTCATGTATTTATGGTACTTTCAGAAAATTGTCTAGACAAAAATTAATCTTAAGTAACATTCGTACTAAATACGAGCATTAAAATTTTTAGTTCATTGAGTTGGAAACCAGCGTAATTAAGTTCAAATTAAGTTAAATTATTGTCTTCGGGTACTTTTCTTTCCCTTATTTCTCTGTTTTCCTCTATTCGAATTTGAGTTGGAGCTGTTTTCTTTCTTCCCTCGAGTGTTTTCTCTGCTTCTAGAATGAGTAGTTTTCGTCTGCTTGTCGTTAGATGATTTCATGTCGAAATGATGCTAAAAAACAAGCATGAAGATATGTGATCCCGCTTTGACAGCTTAATTGCTGCTTATTTAAATGAGGCTGTTGAACAAAAATACAGCCAACAGATAGTTGAAAGAGTCAATTAGCGTAAAGAAACAGAAAAAATTGAATTTTTTTTTTTTAAAAAAAACTGGTAAAAAATAACCAAATTTGAGAAAACTGGATTATTAGGAAAAGTTATTATTTCGCAGGGAAATCTTAAAACAAATTCTACTTTCGAAACAAGAATTGATCACGCGTCATTTCAGCTTAAATAATTGGAGAGTGCATTTTACTTACCTTCTAGCAAATAGACTTAAATTGAACTCAAGAAGTGATATATATATCTAAGAGCATTCATATGTGTATTTATGTGTATGAATGCACTTTTTTTAGAGGAGCATTTTAATACCTATCCTGAAAAAAAAAATCATCGCGACCTACATAAGAGTCTGAAGAACGTTCGTCGACTCTTAAAAAGTAAACATTCAATTTTTGTAGAACATATTTTGACCCTAGTACAAAATTTAAATCGGGCCAGGAAGAGGCGGGTTAAACCCTCATTTGCTGTCACAGCGAGCAAAAAATTTTCACCAAACAAAGATACTCTTAGTACCTTGCACTATATTATAGGATCCAATTTTTATTTTTCAACAAAAGCTTATCGACAAAATTTTCCCTGATATATCATTTGATAGCATCTTTGAATTTACAAGTTGATAGGAACACAACTTCTAGTTATAATTGCGATAATATTTATCTGCAAAAACCTATCAGCAGAAACTTTCTAGAGTATTTCAACTTTAATTTTTTCAGTTAGCACAATCTGAGATTTATTGGCTGAACAGATTGATGGCTTTATTTCCGGAAACTTTATTTCACGAGCTAAAGTATTTGCTTAACATCGTACGAGACGACAATATCTGCACAAACAAATAATTTTTGCGAACCCCCCTTTTGAAATTACTCAAGTTTTCCCCAGCCAAAAAATTGAGGAAAAAAGACAAGATGAAAAACCCAAGAAAATAAAGAAAATACAACAGCTGAGTACAACAGGTAATCGATGATTTTCGAAGAAATTTGCAGCCTATCATAAAGCATTATTGAGGTATCGGACAAAAACATCAGCAAAACGTTACAACTTTGACTGAAATATTTCAATTAATGAAAAACTTTCTAAAACTTTTAATTGAAACTTTCCCTTAAATGCCATGGAAACTAAGAAGACACGTTTATATGCTTGTCTTCTGGTAGCGCATGGATGAACAAAAAATTTGTCCGTGTAACAATCCATAGAATGAAGCTTGCCTTTGAACGATTTCTGAGTCAGATTAATTCTCCGCTTACCCGTTACTAGAGGGAATTATACTGCTCTTAAATTATATCCTTTTCCTTTTTGCGAAAGATGTCATTTTCACAAAACCGTTTAATAACAAAAAATCATCACATGACAATTATTTTAAAGTTTTTGTTGAGGGTATTGATAATTTCCAGATGGTATAAACAGCGAGTTAAAAATATTTTTCTGAAAAAAGACAACTCCGACTGAGCGGATTCTTCTATTACTCTTTAATTACAAACACGTGTACTTTTATCGTCAGCAATTGCTTCTTTAATGCTGGCTAATTTGAACATAATTGCAATACCTCCAAACAAGTAAAAACTGCCATACAGAACGCGAAGAACTCCAAAGCATTCGGCCCAGACAACATCTCGACCACTCACATGAAACACCTCGGACCAAATGCTATCAACTACCTCACGAAGATCTTCAACCTGTCGCTCAGCAAATGCCAGATCCCAGCAATTTGGAAGTCGTCAGTCATTATTCCGCTGCTGAAACCAGGCAAAGACGCAGGCCTCAGCAACTCGTACAGACCCGTCTCCTTGCTTTGCCCAGCCTCGAAGATCCTGGAGAAGTGCATCCAACCTCTCATCACCGAACACCTCCACTTCGCCAGTCACCAACACGGCTTCCGGTCCAAGCACTCGACGGTCACCGCTCTTTGTGACATCACGACAGCCATCTCCAACGGCTTCAACAGAAAGAAACCAGCCGACATGACTCTGCTTGTCGCGATTGACCTGTCGAAAGCCTTCGACACGGTTAAGCATTCCAAGCTCCTCGACCTCATCAACAAGACCAGTCTGCCCAGTGCTCTGAAAAGATGGCTCGCGAACTTCCTACAAGGACGACAAGCAAGAACACTGTTTCGCGACTCTCTCTCAAAAGCACGGATAGTTCGGTTTGGAGTGCCACAAGGATCAGTTTTGTCGCCACTCCTTTTCAACTACTACGTCGCAGACGCACCTAGCCCTCCGGACGAAATCAAGATCAAGTCCTACGCAGACGACTTCACGTCCCTCATTCTCGGCACCGACATACCAGCAATGGCAGGAAAACAAACGGAGTACCTCGCAGAGCTAGTGAACTTCTTCGAAGAGCGAAACCTCCAGATCTCCATTGACAAGAGTTTTGTCACGCTGATGACACCACAGACAGCCCAATACAAAACCGTTCCTGAAGTGAAGATAAACAATGAACAAATAAGAATGAACAACCAAGCGAAGATCCTCGGCATCACTTTCGACACCATGCACACTTTCGGGGCCCATTGCAGAGACACTGCGAAGAAATGCTCTCAACGCAACAACGCCCTGAAAGCGCTTGCCGGCACTGACTGGGGAAGCGACAAGGAAACACTCCTCATGACCTACAAAGCCGTTGTTCGCTCTAAACTTGAGTACGGCGCCGCTGTGATAACGCCCACACTCTCCGAAAGCAACATCGAGAAACTACAGAAGGTCCAAAACAGCGCCCTGAGAACAATCACCGGATGCCACGCCATGACTCACATAGACCACCTTCACCAAGAAACATCCGTTCTACCAGTTAGACGACACCTCAGAATGCGAACGATACAACATCATCTCGCCAACCACTTGCCAGATCACCCAGGAAACCAACTCACGAAAGAACCCAAGAACCCACCAAGACTCATGAAAGAAACCCTCCAAACACGATATGAAGAAAGATACATTGAACCTCTACTCGACAGCAACAGACCTCTAACCGAAAAGAAGTACAGAAACCTGCTAAAAACGATCCACACAAATGAAGTACGCGACGCCTTTTAAACCTACGAATACCCAGCAGTCCTCGGACACAATCCACCAAAAATTGCCAAAGAAGAAACCGAATTACCAAGAACAACAAGAAGAACACTGGCACAGCTCAGATCCGGCTACTCAAAGTTCCTGAACTCGTACATGAACAGAATTGACCCGACAGTAAGCGAACTTTGCCCGGACTGCCAACAAACAAGCCACACAACTATACACCTGTTCGACTGCATCGCAAATCCTACGAACTTAACCCCAGCCGATCTCTGGAAGCAACCGAAGAAGACAGCAATATTCCTGAAACTCCCCACAACCCTGGACCCAACAACGAGCGACGAATAGATCTCAGAAGGGCAACAACAACAACAACAACAACATAATTGCAATAAAATTGAAAAAATGAACACAGAAAAATTTCACATTAGGTTGGAAAACGTGAATTCGTAGTCCAAAACCAATTGCTGTACGATCAAGTGAAGTAAAAAAATTTCTTCTTTTTCCCTTTTTGTTCACATTTCCGCAAAAAAATTCCACGACTGAGATCGAATATAGCCGACATACAGTTAGAACAAGTGTTAATGAACATTTTTTTTGATTTTCAGAGATATTAGATCATCAAAAGAATGTTAAAAATCTAGAAACCAAAATCCAATTTTGAAAATTGAAGTCATGCATGCTCTTTCGCGTCAGTTTCACTTTCAATCATTGAAGCTTATTTGCCCCCCCCCCCCCCGGTTTTCAAATGAACGTATGAGTTGAACTTATAAGACATGCATAGCCAATAGACAGTTGAAGTGGACTCAACAAAACGGAGAAACGACTGACTACATTTTAAAGATTTCAAAGAAAAATACATGACCTTAAAGCTTTTTTAAAATCAAGAATCTTTTATGATTGACATTTTAAAAAAAAACTATACTAATTTGTGAAAGCTGGATCGATATGTTATTTATTTTTACTCCATTAGTTATATTAAAACAATCTACATTTGAAACTGGAAGTCACTTACTTTTTCGCACTATCTGCACTTGCTTATCTGAAAAGACTTATCGTCTTTCTCTTTTGGCAAATGAATCTAAAATCAGCTGGAAACAAAAAACTCAACACGACTTATAGAAGTGTCTGCACTACGTTCATTGACACCTAAAAAACGAAACCAAAAAAATTTAAATTTGAGCACGAAAAAATGAAAAAAAACCTGACCCATATTACTGTCCTAACTTCGTTCATTGAAACTTAATAAAAATAACAAATTAAGCCACAGGAGACAGAATAATCAGATTTTTTTACGCTGGAAAATCTGAGAGGTAAATGCCACTTCCAAACCCAAACATAATTTACCGCTCTACGTGCAATTTTAATAGAGAGTGTGTTTCGCCTTGCGTACTTTGTACATAAACTTTGAAGTCAATTTAACATAAATCAAACATAAAAAATAGACAAACATGTCAGAAATCAAATACAGGTCAATTTTCTTTAAAAAAAACAATACGATCACAATCAGGAAGACTCATTTAGCCTTTTCACACTTAAAAACCTTTCAATTTTTTCCAAATGAAATTTTTTTTTTTGGAATTCACTTTAATTAATATAGCGAGATTAGATTAATTGAGACCCAACTGTTTAGCTTAAATTACCATTGCGGTTGAAAATGGTTGGACAAAATTGGTTTCTCATTGTGAAGACGCGGGGGCGGGGTAAAAACCAAAATAAATACCAATTGAACTAAATTTCACATGGTCAAAACAAGTTGGGTGCGCAAAAAAAATGTCCGAAAAAAAGGTAGTTGGTTACATGACGCTGCTAACTATCGCAAGTCTGAAAGATTCAAATTATTCATCAAACTGTATCTACACTGACTAGACTATCTGATATTGATTTTAACTACAGCAATTCATCTGTCGTTAGTTTATAATAAACATAGTTAGTAACCAATATATAATATAAATACAAACAACATAAAAAATCAAAATCAAGTCTTAAGGTTAACAACACTATTTCGACTTTTTCAATTCATCTTCATCATGCAATTCACCCACCCCTTTTCCAGCCACTTTCAGCTGATTTCTGGCGTGATCGACTTTTGTATTTGGCACAGTAGCAGGTGTAGTCCATCCCACAGCATCTAGATTCAGACGATATATCAGAATAATTAATAAAATACTATGTATGATTGAAATTCGACGTTTAGACTTGTTTAATTTATGTAATTCAAACAATAGAAGCACGAATTGTAGAAAAAATTTTAGGTAAAATTTTTATCAATTACGGTAAAAATTCTCCACAAAAATTGAGAGCGACAGTTTTGAAGTTGATGATACCTTGAGAAATCTAACCTAGCAAAACAATGGATATAATAATGGCGCATTATAATCCAAAAACTTAACTATTTTGCGGTTACTTTTTCTTAATCCCTTTAATATGTTCAAATTGCAGTAAAAGATCTTTCATTCTATTACGTATTTCAATTTCTTTTTTATAAAAAGCGCATATCAAGTTGTTGGAAAACCTTTTTTCAAAAGACTTTTTTCTTGCGAACAATCAAATTCTAAAGCTACCAACGGTAAAGTTTTTCCCCTTTTCTATCTTTCTTGAGCAAGTTGGGCTCTCTTCCCCAGTTTTTTTCCTTACAAAAAGGTATCTAAAAAATTTCAGTTTATGATTCCCGCTTTGAGACGCCTGAAAACAGACTACATTTATGTCTCAGGGCGCTCAATCAAGTGACTTTTTTGTAGCAGAATTCTTTATTTCTAATTTTGTTTCTGTAATGACTTCACTTGGAAACAATTTATTATGATTATAATTATTTTTAATGTTTTATCAGTGGTATCAATTAAAAAACCATCTTTTAAAATCGTCAAGTTTAGTTTTATTAGAACGTGTAATATAGATTTATTCTGATATATGGGCAGACCTGCAGTTAGTTTGGCAGCCATTGGGGGCAGGGCGTACACAATAATTATGCCGACAAGGGATGTTTCCGGACAACTCCAGCTGAACACTATCACATTCAACACACTCCAGTGCATGCCAGTGTATTGGAGACCTGCAATCAAAAACAGAACACGACACTCGGGGGTGAGGACAAACCAGTCGAAGTGCAAATCCAACCAAAAATACGCAGAATAAAAAAAACAGCCAAAATTGGTCAACCAGATGAAAGTTAACTTATTTTATTGAAATTTGCATGACTTCCATAATCGTTTTCTAATTCTTACACAACTATTCTGTAACAGTTACATGGTAGCTAGTTTATACTACATCTGGTTAATAGAACATAGCCAATCGAAGATTGGAAAAGAGCAACGAACGCAAGAAAACATTTACAAGACTTTGTTGAAAAAATCTCAACTTTCGAATTTCAAAGAAAAAATAGATGCCTTTTAGCTCACTGAATTTTTAGAGCAATTTATGATTGGCGCTTTTTTGATAACATTAGCCCAGCTTGAGAAAACTAGATCAAAAATAAAGTTTTTATTCCGCTGGAAATCTAAAAATTAAATTCCACTTTCGAAACTGGAAATCGTTCACGAATTTTTGCGCCATTGGCACGTTCATATTTGGAGAGTGCTATTTACGTCACTTTCAGCAGATGAATTTCAATTGAACTTAAAAAGTGCATATATATCTAAGTGCATCAATATTTAATGACTTTTTCCTGAAAAATAAAAAAAAAACAAAAAAAATCAGCAAGACCTATATAAGAGTCTTCATTACGTTCATTACTCTTAATAACCGATCTACGGGCTGAAAAAAACTGCTGTTCATACAATCACTATTAAAGGACAAATTCGAAGCATATATTCCATTACTGAAAAAATGCTAAGACTGTAATTTCATTTAATGAAAAAAAAAAACCCTGTCCAATTTCAATTTATGAATAAACTCGTATCATACCATTTCCGTTGTTGAAAAAGGCTTATCGTACCATCACGGGCGGATCTAGAATTTTCTCGTGCGGGCGGATTTTCAAAAAAACTTTGAAAATTTTACCGACCATTTTTTTAAGGTGGCCCAAATTGATTTTCTGAGCTTTCCCAAAGTACTAAAAAGACCATTTTGTCAAAATTTTGTGCGCCGCAGGCAAATTTTTTTAACAGGCCAAAAAAAGCGTTGCAAGGCACTTTTTAGAAATTTTTGACAGAAAAATCGCGTTTTTTGGCGCTGGCTTCCCCCTCAAAATTCAAAAATATATTGGCGCCCAAGGCGCCTTTAGAAAAATTTTAGGGACCATCAGCCAAAAATAGATATCTCAAAATAGTTCAGAGTAGCACAGAATGTTCCGAGCAGTCTATAAAAAAATTCAAATAAGTGTAGTTTTTCTGTGCGGTGTGATACAAGGGTCTGATCAAAAAACTAGATCTTAGGCTTATTCAATAGTTTTAGTAAAAATGGCAAATTGGAAAAATGTTTTTGCAAAAAAGTTGACTAGAAAAACGAAAAAAAAACTCAAAATTTTTGTCAGTCAACTTTTTTGCAAAAACTTTTTTCCAATTTGCCATTTTTACTAAAACTATTGAATAAGCATAAGATCTAGTTTTTTGATCAGACCCTTGTATCACACCGCACAGAAAAACTACACTTATTTGAATTTTTTAAAGACTGGTCGGAACATTCTGTGAACTATTTTGACATATCCATTTTTGGCTGATGGTCCCTAAAATTTTTCTAAAGGCGCCTTGGGTTTTATCGGTCATAGATTTTGAAGTTTTTATCAAGCAAGTTGAACTTTAGTAACTAGCTGCGGTACACTTGCAAATCGCAAGGGTAAAGAAATTCGCAAAAAAATATCAAGTAAAAAATTAGGATTCTTCTTCATTTCCACCACCAGCGAACTTAACAAGTACTTTTTGCTCAAATTTTTTTAAGAGTTGGCATGTGGAGTAATAAGGCCATGACAAAAATTTATGGTCTGCATATTTTATTTAACATTGTCAAACCCCTCGTTACACCATAAAATTAATGATATGTGAGGCGGGGGAGAAACAAATTCAGGACCAGCCATTTTAAATAGCTCAAACAGCTACAGATGATTCCATTGAGCTGTTCATGACATCGAGGAACAAGGGAAAAAAGCAACAGTGAAATATTTGGTAGATGCGCAGCAAAAGAAACGAATTTCCATAATGAATATTTTTTAGTAGAGTGACACTATCTTATTTTTGGTATTCTTCGTGACTTAAACAACGATGTCCTATTTTATTTAGAAATATAATAGCTATTAATGTCAAATGTTTCCAAATTTCAATGTTTCCAGTTTTTGCTAACTTGCTGCGCAGATTTATTTCTGAGTTTTCACTAGAAAAAACGTTTTCATGCTAAATTCACCATACGAAAAAATTATATTCGATTTCATAACATTAAATAATTTGATATTAATAAAGTATTTTTGTATCTAAAAATTAATAAACTACCTGGAGCAGCCAGCACCATGGCATACATTGGCACAGTTAACTTCTTGATAGAAAATGGGGTCAAATAGTCCACGTAATACACTGAGGTGATGTAAGTAAATTGGAGTAAGAAGGCAGGTATGAAACCAATCTTGAGGTCAAAGGCACACACTGTTCCATTGTAGATCTATAATAACAGTTTATGAACAGTGAAAATCTACAATAATTTTATTGGATCTTAATGACAAAGCAAAATAAAGTAGTTACACAGAGGCAAATCGAAGCGATGCAAAAAACCCATTGCGCTAAAAAATAGTGAATGAAAAAATAGTCATAAAAAATTTCTGAAAAATTATTTAGGAAAAAATTACTTGAAAACAATTTATAGCATACTTCATATTTGTATCAGATAAGTTTCAAAGCAGCCCTTAAAAATGGAAACCATTTACCGAGCAGCAGAAAGGCGACAAACTTGTTGTCATAAAAAATTTCATACAATTTTTAAAGTTTTTACGACCCATCCAAAATGGAACACTAGTCCCAAAGTAATAAATTTTGCCCTCGAAGTTACGCAAATATGTTAACTGAGTCGATATAACATAAACTGAAATTTTTTGAATATTAAAAAAAACGAAAAAAAAATCAAAATCAGTCATCGTAAATTTACTAATTTGTGAAGTTTCACTTATAGTAGGAGCTAATTAAATTGAAACAAAACTCATGCTTTAAAAATTAAACCAATAAAAACCCTACCAGATAAAAAACGGCGTTTAAAAAACGGAAAATGAACTGACAGAAACATGGGCAAAAACCACGAACCCGAAAAAAAATTGAAAACAGTTTTTGCAAAAATAATTACAATCTAAAAAGTGCTTGAATTAATTACAACTTAAGTGATACTTGTTTTATTGAGCTAGTCAGAAGATCTTCTAGCAGTGAAGATCTATTGTCCCTACAGTTTTGTACCCGATTGCAATACCCTTGGTTATCGCAAGGGTAAATAGCTTACACTAATGCATTATGCATTCCAAAATTCCCCTCGAGGGTAATTAAGTCTTATACTACTACTAAGGAAAATGACTTTTTTTAAATTCAAAATAAATCCTTAAGGTCATGAATTTTTTCAACCAATTCGCTTTTAGAGTTCATTATTTTGACATCTGATTTCGCAACTTTTGTGATTCAGGCTCGCTTTTTCGGTTTGTGAATTTCCTATGTTCTAATTAATTTAGTTTAACGTTTCACTCAACCACACATGCGCATATCTGAGACTTTTGCTCGAAAAAGGATTTCATTTTTTCTGAGTCCATCAATTTGATCTTCCGAGTTCTTGCAAAAAACTCAAAAATCCCTACATGCCGCAAGCATAAATTTCAGAAAATGTACAGAATTTACCGTTCGGGCGTTTTTTAAAGGGTTCGCAAATTTTCAGCTTAAGAACCTTTTATCTCAGTCGCCAAAAAAATGTCGTAAAATCTAAGATTAAAAAAAAACATTTGGGTCATGTGGTTAGTAAACTTCTGAAAGGAGAGGTTCGTCCCCCATAAACACGCTACTGCATATATACACCTGATCTAGCTTGTGCGAATGTATGGAGCTGACAGACATCCCCCAGAAGAAGTGCATAATGTACACTGAAGAGAAGCCGACTGCAATTTGCACAACTATCGTCACTACTTTCTGGGGTATTGTTAACCTAGGAACAGAAAAAACGTTGATAGAGTATTCGGTCATAACACAGAGACGAAGCTCCACTTCCTAAAAAAGCCCAAAAAAAACAAAGGCAGCCTTAGAAAAATTTAAAAAGGTGACTGAATGAATCTTGAATAATAAAACGTTTGCTATGTGGAGGATTCGAGCTTCCGACCTCGAGAAACAGGAGGCAACACTAGCGATAAAACGACAAAAAAGCAGCTCTAAAAAGTAAAATAAAAAAGATAAAAGCCTTGAAAATTAAGACTGAAAATAACACAGCTACATGAGCTAATTAATTGCCAATGCAATGCAGCAAAAGTGGCACCAAGTACAAATAGACACATATTCGCATGTAATAATTTGGAATATAACAAAATGAATTTAATAAATTGGAAACTAAACCGCCGAATTGTGCGTGCACAAATTCTGCATTTCAAAATTTTTGCGAAATATATTGAGTTGGAAAAATTCGAAAAAAAAATTCATACTGTACTTCTGTATGAAAGAAATAGCTTTTTTCGGTTCAACTGATGAAATAAAAATGCACCAATCGTGTTAACTTATTACTAATCGAATATCAAAGCACAGACAATTAAACTGCCAAATGCTGCTTCATGAAGACGTGCCAACACGAAAATAGCACTAAAACTTCAGCTGGAAAACAAGTAGCCTTAGTACGCTTTATTTGTGTAATGAATACAAACATAATTTTTATCTTAAAAGAACAAACAATGCCACAAAGCAATGAAACAAATCCTATTATCTTGAATGATGAAAAATTCAAGAAGTCAAAATTATGGCTATTTCATTGCATTTCAGCAAAATTTGGACTTTGTTACCAGTCTATTCTGTTATCTCAATGTATATACCACTTTCAATGTGTACCACTGAATATTGTTGGAAGAATATTGTATGGCTAGAAAAAAACTGCTATTTTGGGGCAGATGGAAAAGATTTAATGAACGCAAGTAAGCAGAGAAAAATACCGACTTGTTTTTTTAGGAAAATCTTAACTTTTGAATTTTCAAAGACAACAATAGATGTCCTCAAAGCACTTTGAATTTCTAGAACAATTCATGAGTGGGGTTTTTTTGATAAAATTAACCCAATTCGAGAAAACTGGATCAATAGGCAAAATTTTCATTTCGCTAGCAAATCTGATGAATAATTTCCATTTTCGAAATTAGACGTCAATCTTTATACGTGATAAATTTTTCGTGACCTTTACATTTTGCTGTTTGATAGTGGAATTTGTCTTCCTTTTAACAAAAGAAATGAACTGAACTGAAAAAGAAATCAGACGTGGAACCCGCAAACTAGTAAATTTGAGCCTGAACAAATTTTAAAGAATTTTCCTGGAAAAAAAAACTAAAAAATCATCGCATCTTGTATAAGAGTCTGAACTACGTTCATCGACTCTTATTAATGTTTGTCGATCGGCGATGATAGTTGAGCGGTGATAAAATGGAAAACATTACTTCCAATCAGTCGGCTATTCGAGATCACCCTGATCCGTGCTTGTTGCTTTAGGGCCAGACAAGTTATCACTGCCCAGAAAAACAACAACACATTATGCAAGTAGTTTCTAGCGACGAGCAAAACGTTCTCTGCAAAGATCTGAACACTAGATGTCGGCGGTTCGGGAATTTTCAACTTGGATCGGTTCGACACAGTTAACGACCGACCCCAACTGGACAGCTTGTTTGGCGACTCTTTCCCTCGCGGACAATTCTTCTAATAAATAATAGATCAACAACTTTCAATTCTAACCGTTTATCCAATAGAACCATAGCTGGATCGGCAGTAGCTCCTCTGAATGTACAAGCATGCAGAGTGCCTCTAAGCGAAGTGTACACCACCCAGCTCCACAGTCCATAGTGGAACAGAACACAGGATCCCTCCGCGCCTCCTGTTATCATCTGAAATACCAATTAAACTGTAAGTACGCCAAAATACAAAGCCAGGGGACCAAAAAATACAATTAATGAAACTTATTCAACATTCGAACTACCAAAAAAATATATAAACGCATCTTAGAGCTCTTTGAATTCCTTTATCAATGGCAGTTGAGAAACCTGGATCCAAGGTTTTTTTTTTCATTCTGCTGGGTTCACGATTTCTCGCTCAATTTCAGCCCTCGTAATTCACACTGAGAAATAATAAAGACAAGGGTTATCAACTTTTTAGACTTTTTTTATTTCGCTGGGAATTCTGATAATTAATTTCCAGTTTCAAACTAAGAAGCCGTCACATTTTTTGTGACCTTTACAATTTTGCTGTTCGATAGTGGAGTTTGCCTACCTTCAGCGATTAAAATGCACTGAACTTAAACAGAAATCAGAAGTCAAACCGCGAAAAATCGAAATTTCTAGACTTTTTCTTGAAAAAAAAATCAGCAAGACCATTATAGGAGTCTTCACTACGTTCTTTACTCTTAAATATGTCAAATTCCCAATTCAAAATTTTGAGAGCAATTTTCAGATCGAAGACGCAAAAATCCTGGTGTTGCTTTGGGTATCTCAAAATTCAATACTTTACCTGAATACATGCCAATATCTCCAGTAATATATTCTGCAGAAACCGTCTGTTTTCAGTTTTCGCGACCACAAACCCACTGATGACATAACAAACAGTAACCAGGAATCCGTAAGCTACCGAGAAGCACAAAAAGTGCAGAGGTGTCTCTGTGTAGTAATCGAATTGGTCACTCATTATAATAACCAATGACTTGTATATAGGTTGAAACTAGTTGAAAAATGAAAAAAGTGATGACCATTTAAAATATAATTTATTAATTAAGCATCTTAAAATTTTTCTAAAATGATCTCAGTGAGTTAACATTTATAGTTTCAAAGATTTTTTTTTGAAAAAAAAACATTTTTTTCCGAGAATTTCAGGTAAAACATTATGAAATTGAGAGATCTAAGAAAAAGAAAACTGTGTTGGTTATATTCATATTTTGCATTAAAATTTGAAAAGTCATCACTTGAAAACTAAAATTTCTTCTCAATAGAAGTTAAATCGAATACAAAGAATTCTGAATTAAAACCAAAATTCATTAGCTGGGAGCGAATTTGACGAACTTGATATGTAACAAATAAAGCACTATGAATTGCAACCTAGACATGAGCTTATGGATTTATTTAAAAATTCCAATTTTAAGAATTTCGAATTACCTACAGGACATTTTGCGACATTAGTGCGGATAAATAAAATCAGTTTGTTTCTGTATAAAAATGACGAGCTTAAATAAAAAGCGTTTTTTTCTTCAACTCGGTTGAACTTTATAAAACACAACGAAACTCTCTTTCTATCTTTGTAATTTTACATTATTCCAACTCTTTGCTCTTGTAGTAACGGCTAACAGCTGAGTAATGCAAACAATAACGATAACTATCAATGAATGAAATCAATGGTTTGACTGAGAAATAAATGAATTGAGGCAAATTTTAACTCTTTGAGTTAAGTAGACAACGTATTGGAATGAGTCGCTACAAAAGACCTTTCCATTCAGTTCATTCCAATTTGATCCAAATTTGAAGAACGAAATAAAAGACCCTTGCAAGTAGGAATTCATGTTAAGTAGCTCTCGCCGGAACTTTCCAAGGGTATTCAGTATCCAGCATGCAATTTCTTGATTCCAGCGGGGTTTGGACTAAAATTTGCTTTCTCTGGTTGGTGCATTGAATTCGAAAGTTCTGGGTTGAAATCAGAATAGCTTTTTTCGATATCCGAAGATTCAGTAGACTCTACAACGAGCAAATCAAAGTTGTTTGGTACGAACTTTTTTTTCTTTAGTAGCAAAAACAGAATTAAGAGACAAAGTAAAAGTAAGTTTACTTGTAGCAAAGTAAGAGTGCTGTTAAAGTATGCAATTGCTTTAAGTTTGATAAAAATCAGGTCTATAAATTTTTTGAAAAAGAAACAAGAGTAAAGCTTATCAAGTTTCCATTAATTATTTTTTGCAGTAATGTTTGACTCAAATTTCACGTCGTAACTGATTCTTGCAGATTCCATTCCAATTACTGTTCCTAAATAATGGTACGGGTGAGAAAGAATTAAGTCTAATTCGGTTCTGCTGTTTCCATTTTTGTTACGTTAATTGCGTTTGTGACTTTTGACTTTTTTGCGGCCTCATTCTGCTGTCAGCAAAACTTGAACTGTGCCCTAGCATTGAATCCATCGATTCAAGATGGACTTCAACCATATACAACTGAAAAAAAAAACCATTAATCAACAGGTCACCCGCTAAAACTGTTTAAAATTCTCTATATATATCCCCTGGAACATTTCCAAAATCCAGTTTTTGTTCTGATTATTCTTTTTCTTACTAATGCTCAAATTTTTTTCGGAATACGAATCGTTGCATGATTGAGTTTAAACAAGGAAAATAAAGTGAAAACTCCACGCAAAGCATTGATAATCTATTCGCAACTCATACTGTGCGTTTAGGTTTATACGTCTGGCTAGATAGCCACCGCAATATGATTACTTGTCCAGTAAATTAGCTTCCTAATAGATCAATTCGACAAAAAATATGATAAGACGCCATAATTGATCGTTAAAAATCTTTGTAATTTTATACATTTATATTAAAAAACAATCCGATTTAAAAAAAAAAAAAATCGTAAAGATGAAGATTCAGTTAGAAGGAAGTTTGATACCTCTAAAAAATTCTAACTGAAGCTAACTCAGTCGTGCAGCCCAGAAATTGAAGCATTTGGTCCACTAAAACTCAATCACAGCCCGAACCATGAATCGCAAGCGATGTGCAGTCAATGTTGAATCACCGTTGAAAAATGCACTGCTGGGTGCAGTCTACTACAAGTTACCGACAGCAGTGCAAATAAATGATGCCTGCAAATATATATGCACAAACAACGACACAAATTTGAGATTTGAGAAACAAAACGTCATCAGTCGAAATTCACTTAAGTAACCTTACTTAAAACTTGTAATTACGAAAACAGATTAAACTTTCAATAGCTTGTGTACTAAAACAAGGAAATCATACTAATACAGAGGCGAAACGGATCTTCACAAAACTTGTGACAAAACAAAAAAACTTTCCGTTACCAAATGGAGTTGAAAAGTTAAGTTGAAAAAATAATGGATAAATTAAATTGAAACAAGTCAAAAAAAGAAAACCTACAAAAATTTCGTGTGCGTATTGGATGATGTTACAGCCTTAAAAAACATTAGAATCAATTACCTCGCAGCGCCCCCGCCGCAAATATTGGGTCGACCCCTGTTGAGCTGAAAACAAAACTAATGTCATAATAAGTGAGCTATAAAGTTTTCCAAAAAACTACGACCCCATCCCCCAACCGTACAGAAACACATCAAACCATAAGATTAGATTTTACTAAAAAAAAGTCGACGAAGCCGTTAACAGATTAGCCAAAAACGTTAAAATGAAAAATCCAAATCAGACTTGGTAAACTTACAAAATACAGAATTTCAATTACAATAAAAAACAAAACCCATGCTTTAGAAAATCAGCCAAAAAAATCGTGCCAGATAATGTAAATGTCATTTCAAAAAATGAAAAAGAACCGACAGAAAATCGGACAAAACCAAGAATCCTAAAAAAAACACTTCAAAAGGTAATTTGAAAAAATAATTACTACCATCTAAATGGTGGTAGTTCTAACTAAATTTTCAGGAAAGTGAGCATGTAAGCATTCTGCGCGTGAAAGCTTCCAGTCCTCTTAAACTGACCATTCTGTAAACAAAGTTTCATACGGGAAAAACATTGACCAGCCGTTTGCAACACCCTTTCTGATCACCAGGATAAAAACATTAAAACACAATAAAATTTTAAGATTTAAATTTATATGGCGTCCAACGTGGGGCGGTAAATTTTTTGACGAGCAGTCTGCTACAAGTTACCGACACATGAGCAACGACCAGAAAAGACAGTTCACTATTTGGTGCACAGTCTACTCAATTTACCAATAGCAGTGCATATATGTCATTACTCGAGATTGAGAGAAGTTACCTGACTCAAAACTTTTGAAGAAAACTGACGAAATTTTCAATAAAAAGTTATGTAGCAAAACAAAAAGAAACGAAATTAACTAGAGCATGCCGATCAGCTGCGGTGCTTCAAATTAATAGAAGCCGTAAAAACAGCTTACTAAAACTTTCATAAAAACAGCGATATTAAATAAAAGCGTAAAATCGAAGTTTAATATATTTAGATCAAAAGGTCACATTGTCCAAAAAATTCATCAGATATTGAATTTTTCAATTTTAAAAAGATACTGAAAAGGCCAACAACAAAAAATTGTTGCAAATAAACAACAGGAAACAAATTAACATCATATAAATTTAAGAAACATACAAAACGCTTCAGAGAAAACAGCAAACAAACTCATGGAGACACCTGCTTTGCTGCGTTAACTTGAAATAGGCACCATTGCGGATCAAAAAATTATTTGAAAACAAAGAAATTTCGAAGTAATCAAAAACAATTTATCGAACTCACGATAAAACTTCACATTTTTGGCTAGTTTTAGCCTTGAGTAAAAACCTTATAATTCTGTGGATTTTGAGGAAAATTCCTAAATTGGGCGTAAGTTCACCCTTCCTAGAGCCATTGTTTTTATCATTTAAAAAAATTTAAACTTAGTGGATGCTAAACTTTTATTTTATTCAGTGTTCTAATCTCACGCAGAGTCCGTCGTACTAAAATTTGGGGATAACATCGAAAAATCTCGAATTTGTAGAGCATTCATGAGCTGCTATAGGGACAGCGGATTATCTATACTCACTTCAATTCTAACAAGATCAATTTGTTAAAACCACCTTTGATTTACTGAAAAAACAGTCGGGTCAGCTCCTTATTATTCAAAACACAAAGTCCTCTTATTTAATGAGCTATAATGGGAATTCGGAATGAGAAAATGCGAGAAGCACGTAGGGAAAACAATGTCACTTTTCAAAACTTTAAAAATCTTTTCACCACGATAGCTCAAAATGTATCCCACAATTTTAGTTGAAACTTAAAAAAGTTGCAGGGACTATATTTCGAACATTCATATATTAGAAATCCGCATTGAGTTATGGGTTTAATGTTGAGACCTGATAGCTCAAAAGTTTATGCTAAGGTAGCTAATGTGGTATTTTTAATTTTACCGCACTTCTTTCGCAATTAGATCAGAGTCAATATGATTCAAAAAGCATCAATTTTGAGTCTATATAGACGCCTAAAAACTAGCAAAATTTGGAAGTTTTTAAAATATTTGTATTAATAGAAAGGTCATAGAAACGACATCAAAAAACGTCACATCTCTGAAGCTAACTGCAACCAGCTTTATATGATAAATTTTATTTAAAATGAGTAAACTAACAATAAGGCGAAACCTGACTGCACTGAAATCATTATTGAAATCTTCTTAAGAAGCAAAGGATCGTATCCTGTTCAAAGATGAAAACTTAGCATTGTACATGCATTGTACAAGACCATTAATGCCAGATTTGTAAACTGACAGCACCACTGCGTCAACGCGCCCCATCAAAGGGGTGAAATTTCAAGTTTTTAATTGAAATATTCTTTAAAAAAAAACGGGTGTGTAACGCACCTCCGGTACTTTTTATTTTTAACAATTGATAAAAAAATCACATTTATTGGAAGTAACATATGCATCCTTTGAGTGAACTCTGACAGCACCCAATTACAGTAATTGAGTAATAACATAAAATTGTGTAAAGTTTTTTATATGTAAGTTCTTTGAGAAACATTAAAAGGACATAAAAAAACGTCGCATCTCTGAAACTAAAAGCAGTTGAGTATTCGCAACTCCTGAAAGTACTCTCACAGTACCCAACTACAGCGCTGGGAATTTCAAAATTTGAGAAACTTCAAATTTAACTTTCTCCTATAAAGCATAAATCAAAAACATAAACAACATCACATCTCGAAAACTGCAAAAAACTTAGAAGTCATATTTCGGAGAAAAAATTCGCAACTCCTGAGAGTACTCTGAAAATCCCCAACTACAGGATTCAAAATTTCAAATTTAGAAAAAATATATTTTTCAGAAAATTTTTTGAAAAATCACAATAAAGGTCATATTTGGGAATTTACACATCACATAAACCAAATTCAAGTTTTCTAAAAACAAATTTGAAAAAATCAAAATCGTCATATCTCGAAAACTTAATTATTTTTGAATCGAGCTTCATACTAAATGTTTTTTTTTATATCTAAGTTTTTTTAACACTTTTAAAAAAGACATACCAAACGTCAGATCGCGGAAACTAAGAGCGTATGAGCAGTCGCATTTGGACCAGATTTGCAACTTGGAAGTCCTGAGAGTACCCTCACATTACCCAACTACAACGTTGGGAATTTCAAATCTTATGAATTATTTAAAATCTAAGTTTTCTGAAAAATTAAAAAGAAATCATAAGACACGTCTTATCTCGAAAACTTTCGAAAGATTCAAGCAGTCATTTTTCAGGCAAGATTTTCAAGCCTTGGGAGTACTCTGACAGCACCCAACTACAGGGTTCAGAATTTTAAATTTGGCGAATTATTTTGTAATTTGAGTTTTCTGAAACTTTTTGAAAATTCCTTAAAATTGTCGTATCTCGTCAGCAAAAATGATTTAGATATTCATAATAGGAGACCACATTCGCAATCTCTGGATAAAAGTGCAGCATCCCACTATTGGGTTGCTAATTTCAAATTTTGTGAAATAAAAACTAAATTCAAAAGGGAAAATCGAAAAAAAATCTTAACCATTGCTATATAAGATATAGCTTAAACCTGAAAAAATCTTTTGTTAAACATGCAAAAAAAAACACGTTGGAAAAGCTTACATGACAAATTAGTGAAGGCCGCATTGAAAAATGTAATCGATGAAAAAATCAAAAGAACCGTCATGTCTAGCAAAACACATTGATTTGAGCAGTCAGACTTGAATGGCAGAAATCAAACTCCGAAGTGTACCAACTAACAGCAACCCACCATAGGGTTGAGAATTTTAAGTTTTGTTAGTTTAAAAAATCCAAGTTTTTTTTTGAAAAGGAAACTGAAAAAATCATAAAAAATGCCATATCTCGTAAACCAAGAAATTTTTGGGCAGTGTATTTTAGAGAACAGATTTGCAACCCCTAAGTGTACTCCCTAAGACTTACCCCCAACATATGACTGCGAATTCAATTTTTCTTATTTTTTTTTTTCAATTTTTTCAATTTAA